AACAAAGACTGGAAGGAAATGTAACTCCCTTGTGATATACCCATGGACAGCAAGTGCTGAGGGAAAAAGTGAATACATTCGAGATAAAGGATCATGCTGGTACAGGAAGAAAAAAATATAAATAAATGCAAAAGCTGCGTGGGCCATGATTCCAGTTAGGATTGTGGAAAAAAAAAAACAACCACAAACAATACAATCATTAAAGCAGCAAATCCCTGGGACAGCTTCCCAAGCAAAAGAAGGAGTTAAGGAACAATACAGATTGCACGTGATGGTCAGGGTAGTGCAGTCCACCACAAACAATCAGAGATAAACACATGTACATAACAGGGGATGAAGCCCAGTTAATGCTCCAGCATTCAGGATGAGAAAGCAGACTTTCCTGGAGAGGAAAGCAGCCACTGCACCAAACTGCCCTTGTGGGCTTTGAAACAAGGGGAGCTGGGAGGCTCTGCACCCCAGGGTGGTGCTGGATGGAAACAAAGCAGCAAAGACACACAGCCAAACGAGTTGTCACACTGCACAGCCTGTCTCAAAGTGAGACCTCACATAAGGCCACAAAGCAGCCCTCCTTCTGCTCCACCATTTGCCCCATGGAATTCATAATAGAAAAAACTGACACAAAGTTTTACTATCTGCTCTTGCCTGTTGTGCTGCAGGACAGCTACTCCTTCCGCAGCAGCTCTTTACTACTGCTTATCAAAGGAAAAGCAAACTGTGGGCACTCAGAGGGCTTCTTCCCCTCTTTGTTTAAGCATGAAGCAGGAGGAAGGGGAGGACTTCTGCAGTTTAATAGTCGGGAAACAGGCAAGTCTGCTCTGTCCAAACCCCTCCGTGCCAAGCTCCCAACAAGAGAGTCATCTCCTCTGCTGCCTTTTAATGCTGCTGGGAAGTTCAAAGCTTCTGGAAATAGATTCTGGTAACGGAAAGGTTGGCAGAAATAGCTGAGAATATTGCAAATGTTTACTTTATTGAAACAGAACAGTCAGCCCCATATAATGAAAACAGCCTGCTACATTCTACATATTTAGGCTCTGACCCAAACCTGGAGCGAAGACTACAACCAAGCAGAGGCTCTGCCCAGGGGCAGTGTGATGCCACCTTCCTGACAGAGCAGCTCTGTTATATCTGCATTGGCATGCTGTGGAATGTTTTACAGCCTCCAGCTCCTTCAGCACAAGCACAGCTGTACACACCTAAGGGCCAGATGTGTCAGCGTGTGTCCTGGTCACAAACAAGGCTGTCAGCAGCAATGCAGAACTACAGCAGGCTGGCAATCTCCTGTCAGCTCGGTGTGGGTGTGTACCAGGCACAAGGCTGCTCCCAGCACTGTGCAGTGCATAGGAGCACAGACTGCTCCACAAAGGACAAGCACCACAGGGCTCCATAAGCATGCACCCACCTGCATTAAAGTGTTACACTCCATAGAATCATTAACGTTGGAAAAGACCACTACGATCATCTAGTCCAATCACCAACCCACCACCACCACAACCACTAACCATGTCCTTCCCACATTTACTGCTATTTTCATCCCTCACCCTCAGTCCTCTGCTTCCTTTGATAACCACAACCTCTCCAGTATAAAGTCTTAAAAAAAACTTACTTGAAGCAAAGTGCAATAAATCTACTTTGGCTGCTGAGCAAGGTGCCCATACACTCACCACCTTGATCACAAGTGAAGAAGCAAGCCAAACCAGTTACAAGACAACAGCCCCGTGTCAGGCAATGGCCCAGGCATGTGCTGATCTCCAAGGGATGCTGCAACATTGGTAAGCAAGCAGCATGTAGTCACTAGCCACAAGCAGAGTCAGCTGCACCAATAGTAAGCCACCAACATAGGATTACAGAATGGTTTGGGTTGGAAAGGACCTTAAATATGATCCAGCTCCAACCCCCTGTCATGGGTAGGGTTAACATGCATGAGAAGATTGTGTCCAGACAAGCTGATAAGGGAGATTTCAGTTTCATTTTGATTTTTTTTTTTTAAATACTTGCAGAGATTAAGGGTTTGAAGTGCAAGAAAAAAGGAAAAACATGAAACACTTTGGATGCTCAGTATTACCCGAGGAATAAGTAAGCAAAACAGTGAGCCTACGAGAGAACTCCTGGGGTGTTTGGAGGCAGGTACACATCAGAGTGCCACTCTGAGGTTATTACATACTGAAATAAAAATAAATTCAGCTGTACCTTAACTGAAGGAATAGGAATCATTCAGAGAATATTTCCCAGCAGCTGTGCACAAGATTATGGAAACAGGTTTTGGGGGAATTCAGAACCACCCAATTACGTAAGCAAAACTCTCTTAATCCAATACGTTTTTAAATGTGCTTATATTGCTTTAAGCTGCTGCGAAACCACATCAGATTGCTGGCTGCAATACTAACAGCTTGATTAACATACCGAAATGGCTCAATCCAAGGTCAGACAAGGCAGGAGGGAGGGTGCCAGGACACAAAGCCCCTGACAGAGGAGAGCAGGAGCCCAGCCACACCACAGCCAGTGCTGCCCAGCTCCTGCTGCCCATCTTACCACAGCTTTGCCACAGCAGCACCAGGCCCCACAGACAGGAGAGTGCCATTGGGGCAGGAAGCATTACTATGAAAGCGAAACATTGGAGGAAAAGAAAAAAAAAAAAAAAAGAAAAAGAAAAAAAAACAGAACTATGGCTGGAGAACAAGTGCACAAAGAGCTTTACATGTTGGCAATCCCCAGCTGCCACCAATCAGGGTGTGACTGTAAGTTGGGTATCAGACAGATAAGCATGCATAATTTTCAAAGGAATCATAGCAGAACTGCTTAACATCTAAATGAGACAAGCAAACTAATATAAATAAGGAGAATTAGAAGAAAAGTAATGGGTTAAATTGATTCAAAGGCCTGAAGCTGAGCTAACAGTCATTGGCTAATAGCTACTGAAAACAAGATGGAAATACAGGAGCTATCAGTGCCAACAAGCACACACACTCCCTTCCTCTTAGTGCATTTGTATGTTGATACGAGAGCTACATTCCACCATGTTCTAATACTGCCCGTACTCAGCATGGGCACTTCCCAATATGCACTGTGGAGGTGGGAGAAGAAGGACAAGGCAAGTCCTCCTCAGGAGTCATCTGGAGTACTCAGCATCTGCCACACTGACCCTGTGCGGCTGGGAGCCAGGAAGCAGGCCTGCCTCAGCCACAGCACAGCAGAAGGCAGGCAGGTGTTTTAGCCCCAGGGCATTTCCTCCTGTATGAATCTCCAATCTCAACAACAGGACTGGGAACTAGAATGGCAGTAGGAGGACATGGAGGCGTTTCTAACAGCTTGGTGCAGCCCTGGCTGTTGCTCATTTGGCAGAAGCCCTGCAGTGCTTTGCTCACAGCTTGCTCAAGAAGTGAATCAATGCAAAGAGGTCCCTTGGAGGACCTTGAAGGTCTGAAACCAACCTTCACTAACTTAGGCAATGAAGAATAAAACTCCCACTGACGCTCAAACCAAATTGGCATTTCCTACTAAAAGTACCCTGAAGCACAATAAAGATGAAGTTTACCTTCTCTTGAACAGACTTCACCACGCTAACAACTTGTTTAACTGTGAGCTCAAGTGGTTCTGCTGGGTCATCTTCCTCAAATGTCAGCAGCTGTGAGTCCTAGGGGGGAAAAGAGGAACACTGTCAGGTGATGAACCTACCCCTTGGAGATGAGGGATGAAAATACAAGGGAGAGCCTGAAAACCTGCACTTAGGGCTCACATCTAGACCCAGCTGCACCTCAGCTTCCACAGAACACATAGATTTGTATGAGTTGGAAGTGTTGCATAAAGGCCATGTTATCTAACTACCCTTCCAATGAACACAGACACCTACAGCTACATCAGGTTGCTCAGAGCCCCATCCAGTCTGACCTTGAGTGTCTCCAGGGATGGGGCATCCACTGCTTCTTTGCGTAACCTGTGCCAGTGCCTCGCCACTCATACTGTACAATTTTTTTTCCTCATGTCCAACCTAAATCTCCCCTCTTTCAGTCTGAAACCATTTCCTCTTGTCCCGTCACAGCAGACTCTGCTGAAGAGCCTGTGCTTTTCTTTCTTACGGCTTCCCTTTAGATACAGAAAGGCCACTTCCATGTCTCCCCAGGTCTTCTCTTCTTCAGGCTGAACAGCCCCAGCTCTCTCAGCCTGTCCTCATAGGGAGGTGTTCCATCCCTTACATCGTTTTTGTTGCCCTCCTCTGGACATGTTCCAACAGCTCCATGTCTCTCCTGTACTGAGGACTCCCCATCTGGACGCAGTGCTCCAGCTGAGGTCTCACCAGTGCAGAGCAGAAAGGCAGCATCACCTCTCTCACCCTACCGGTCACACTTCTTCGGATGCAGCCCAGGACACGGCTGGCCTTCAGGGCTCCCGCTAGGCACACAGCTGCATTAGGCCATGCCAAAACTACCAAATCCCCAACACTCAGCTCGACGAGATGGGGAACGAGCCCCTCCCCGGCCGTCGCTGTAAGGGGACACGGGCAGCGCTGACAGCCGCTCGGGGCACACAGCAGTTTCTGCGGCGAGGTGAGGCTGCCAGAGCCACCAGAGCACCGCCGCCTTGTGAGGAGCGGGGTGCCACGCCGTGAGCTCACGGCAAGGAGCTGCTGCGGCGGGGCGTGCGCCGAGCCACACCGGGACGCGGGCCGCCCGCCTGCAGCCAGCGTTGGTCGCGGGCCGGGCTGCGTTGCTCTCCTTATCTCTCACGCACACGCTGCCCGGCTCTTCTTCCTGCCCCCAGCCTTTTCTCCGGGGCCACCGGCTCTATCAGACCTAGAGAGGCACGCACAGCGCTCCCCCCACACAGACGCCCCGAGGGGCAGCACCACACCGCCCACGGCCCGCTCCCACGCCCCCCTCTACCCCCCCCCCGCTTCACCTGCGGCCCCGCACTCACCGCCCGCGCCGCCGCCTCGCCGCGCAGCGCCGCCACCCAGGCCCGCCGCCACTGCCGCCGCCAGCTGCCCAGCGACAGCGCCCAGGCCAGCGCCGAGCCGCCCTCCTCCAGCAGCTCGTCCCGCGGCGCCGCCGGGGGCTGCTGGGGGGACCGCCGCCGCTTCCCCCTCCTCCGCCGCAGGGCCAGCAGCGCGTACTGCACCAGGTAAACGGCCAGCGTGGCTAACGCGGCCACGAAGAGAGCGACCAGCGCGTACCAGCGCAGCTCGGCCAGCCCGCCCGCCGGCCACGCCATGCCTGACCATAATGGGAGCCCCCCGCCCCGGCAGCCGCAGCCCGCGCTGGGCCCAGCCGGCAGCCGCGTCCGGCGGGCAGCACGGGGACGCGCCCCAGCGCCGCGCCGCCCCCGCCGATCTCAGCCCCCGCCCACGCCGCCGCCGGGCGGACAGGGAGGCAGGGGCCCGGCGTGGAGCTGGCCTGGCGCCGCAGGGAACGGCTTCACCTGCCCGGTGCCTGCCCGCGGATGTCGGGGTGCAGAAGTGGAGCGGGCGGGCAGACCTGACGGCAAGTGCTTGTTTGCTCGGCGCTTTCAAGCAGATTCACAGCTGGAAGCAAAGGCTGGGGGAAAACAGTACAGGGAACACAGTACAGAGGCACCGTGCCGTTGGGGCTGGAAGGAAGCTCTGGGTCCACCTGGGCCAACCCCGGCTCCAGCAGGGACACCCAGAGCAGGGTGCCCAGCCCCACGTCCCGTTGGCGTTTGAAGTCTCCGAGGAGAAGAGAACACAGGCTCTAGGCAGCCTGTGCCAGAGCTCCGTCACCCACACAACACAGCAGTGCTGCTCAGGGGGAGCCCCAGTGCTCCAGTTCTGAAAAGACCCTGGTTCTATCTTCTCATGTAAGAGATTCTCCAGACCCTGTCTTGTTGCTAGAAATACTTTCCTTTTTTTTTACTTTGAAACTATAGCAAAGCTATGCATTAGCTAATATTTAATTACTTTCCTTTTCCATGTACTGGTGAACTTGGAACAGCCTTCTCTGAGCATCCGGAATCGTACTCATCAAAGTATAGCTTTGGGGATGTGATTAGTGAAGTAATTAGTTGTACTTTGAAGCTGGGAACTGTGATTTTGCCTTGCTACTAGGCTGTCTATTAATCAAGCCTTGTATTTCCCAAATCCCATCTTTCCTTTTAATTAGAAAGTACACATCTTTGTTAGTGATTATGTCAAAACAAGCTTGAAATAATATGAAGCAAGTAAGAATAATAAAGAGTTGATCATAGAATCATAGAATATTCTGAGCTGGAAGGAACTCACTAGGGTGATTGAATCCAGCTCCTCGTTCCACACAGCACCATCCAAAACTCAAACCGTATGTCTGAGAAGGTGTCCAGATGCCCCTTGAACTCAGGCACTTGGGGCCATGCCCACAGCCCTGGGCAGCCCGTTCCATGCCCACCGCCCTCCGATGCAGACCTTTTTCCTGATCATACAAGGATTCTGGAAAAAGAGAGTTATAAAGGCATCGTTCATCACAGTTCCCTCACATATCCAATTTCGGTCCTTTGAGGCATGAATTCTCCTACTGTGTTAGAAATGCAAGAAGAAAACTGCCTACCTAGAACAAGTTTCTAGTAAAGTTACCCCAGGCAAATGAGCAACAATACTATATCTTACCTGCTGGCTTCATCATACATCTGACTTTCCAGACATGCTGTTTTCCACCGACAGACAGAATAAGGGCAGTATCTTAGGACCTCGAGTGCATGTTTGAAATTTCCAGGTCTGTTGCAAGGTGGAAGGAACAGTGGTTAGGGCCTGGCACAGGGAAAGGTGGGAATGGCACGTGCCCTGATGAATGGTGAATTGGTCCTGCCCTGCCTTGGACTGGGACACAGCAGAGTGTGCACTCAGATGGAAGACCTGGAAGGTGACCCTGAGTCCTGTGGTGCAGATGTAAGTAGAGGGCAGATGAGATCATCGTTTTTTTCGTCAATCTCATTTTTAAATCTGTAAGTAGAACAAAAAAAAAACAACAAACAAAACCCATCCCACAAACCAAACAACAAAAACATGCATGCACACAAAAACAACTTCAAACAATCAAAAAACACCACCAAAACTGTAGGTTCAATTACTGCAATTAAATGACCACTTACACAACTGCCATAAACTTACACAACAGGGATAAAAACAATTCAAAGTTCCCACTAATTCTCTGTCTCTGAGCTCGAGATTATTTTTACACAGATGTAAGAAAGAAAAGATTCAAATGAGGCTCCTCTTACAGTCTAACATGAAATATGAAGCAAAGGGTTTTGTCAGGACAGCACAAGTGTAAGAGGAGCTTATTTGGCAAAGCTGCACACTGCCCAGCAAGACTTTTTCCAGCAACCCAGGACGTGGTGGGATACCATTCTCACTGTAACATGCCTATAACCACGTCTTCCTTAGGATTTTGCTAGCCCAGCAGTCAGCCTGAAATGAGAGTACTTCATGCTTTCCACTGACAGCTCCACTAAGAGAGGTAGGCCCATCCATTTTCACATGTGAAATGTGACCTCTGGGCAGATTGCTCGTTCTCATATGAAGAGGACCATCATCTCTTTCACATGTAGCATTTCTACCTCTCTCCCACACTTCTACCAGCTGTGCCAGGGACAGGTGACAGGCCTGAACCTAGCAAGTCTGCTCAAGGGTTGTAGGCAAGGAGAGGCATGATCCTAAAGCTAGATGAGCTCACTAGCATTTTCTCACTATGCATTTTGACCTACCCTTACTCTCCATTCTGCTTTCTGCATCCTTCTTCAAGGTGACATTCAGCTGTTTTGTCTCACGTGGCTTGACACACTAGAAATGTTTCCCCTGCTTTGTGACAGCTCTCTGAGAAAGAGTGATGGTTGTGCAAAGGGCTGGGACAAGGATGGGATGAAATGCCCAGGGAAACCTTGCTGGAAGATGGTCAGCAGTCTGCAAAAAAAGGAAGTGTGATTAAACAAGCTTTAATAGCTAGGTGCTAGCATGGGAGCATGGCTAGCATGGGGCTAGCTGTTGTCTGGGAACAGATCCTCACACCTCTTGAACTGCAGAGAGCATCCTCTTCTTAATAAGGGAGTCATTCTCCATACGGAAGGTCTATGAGATGTTGACATCCTTAGAACTTCAGTTTGACTAATTATTCTTATTTTTGGTTCTTTTGTGAGATCAGGAGATATCCGATCTATTATGTATTGATGCTTACCAATCTCTGCTGACAAAAATGTAATATTTTCACTGTGACCTCAGTAGAAATACTTCATTTAGGTCATTTAGTTCTTCTTTGTCCAAGTGCCTACATCTCCTAAGTGCTTAAGAAGGCATAGTGCCAGGAGCTGAGTTTTTCATTTAATCAGGAAATTGCTTTTATAGATTCGTTATTACATATGTTATTAATATACAGGTATCGTCCCAAAAATAAAAAATTGAAGAAACAGCCATGTCCCATTAAATGTAACTGTTAGCAAATTGGCTAAGTTTCAAAACAAAATGTTCACAATGTTATTTTTTGACCAAATGTAATTCCTTTCAATATATGTGTTCAGATATGAAGCAAAGCTATAAAGCCAATGATGGAACCGACTTGGTACATTTTGGATATTTGTTCTTTCTTTGGAAACCATTCACCCTCAAAGAATTATGATAGGGCAAGGTGAAATGGTTTCAAACTGAGAGGGGAGATTTAGGTTGGATATAATGAAAAATGTATTTTACAATAAGGACAGTGAGGCACTGGCACAGGTTGCCCAGGAAGGCAGTAGATGCCCCATCCTTGGAGACACTCAAGGCCAGGCTGGCAGGGCTCTGATGTAGCTGTAGGGGTTCCTGTTCATCACAGTGGAGTTGGACCAAATGACCTTTAAGAATTCCTTCCAACTCATACAATTCTATGTAATCTTTCGAGGTTGAGGTGTGGTTGGGCGTAGATGCGTGGAAAAAAAAACACAAAAATAATGGCACTGCCCTGCTTTATTCATCAAAGCATAAGTATTTCCTCTATTACTTGTAGAAGTCTCTTATAATTTTATCGTATTATATCCACTTGTCTTTGTGGGGTTGCACCTTCCCATCATCACAGCATCTGGGTACATCGTCTGTACCAGAGTGATTATGACTCTGTAAAAGGAGCAAAGGTGGATGACAGACATCGTGCCTCAAATTGCCAATCCTTTCTCCTACTATTTGTACCTGGAGATTCAGTAAAAGAAGGAAAGGTATTTCTGACAGTGTTGTTTTCCTATTATATTGACCCTTCAGAAAGATGTTTACTACGATGCAGCAGTAAAGTTGGACGAGATGAACTTAGTGGTCTTTCTTAATGATTCTATGAAAGCATCCTGACCTTTTAGAAACTAAAACACGCCGTCGGCTTTTTAGTTTTCTTCTTTATTTTCGTCTGCTGAAGCCAATTACATTCTATCCACCAGAGAGCGCCAGTAGTACCGGAGGCCGGGAAGCTCCGGCTTAGTCGATGGGAGATGGCTGTGCTCGCTTGCAGCACTGTGAGCTGCCTCACAGGAGGCGATGGGTGACCTCAGCTGCACAACGCTCGTGTATGAGGATGCTATGTGTACGGCATAGGCAAAGGTGAGGGACTGGAGTATAAGGAGCTTTTCGGCACTGCTCTTTACGCTAGGTGTGGAGCCAGGAGTTGGTCTCAATCCTTGTGGGTCCCCTTCCACCTCAGGATGGTGGTTCTAAGGGAAAAAAATACATATGTATCTTCATTCATGAGTTCACTTTTTGTGCCAGTGTGTCGACTATACATAGGTGTTAAACTATAACTCATCCCCTTATATATTCTCAGAGAACTGTCTGCACTGCAGAAGCCATTGAGGTAAACTGGCATCTGCCTTGGCAGTCTCAATGGGGGACAGAGACTGAAGAGTTTGGAGATGCACCTCATCTCTCTGCTCCCAGGTTTCACTTGAGCAGAAAATGTTTTGGTTAGTGGAAAAAGTACTGAAGTGGATGGCTTTTAGATGAAAGTCTAAATATAAAGTATTTGACCAAAGAAGGAATTTTCTCAAAACTCAGCAATTGCTGTGCAACAGAGCCAATTTTAAACATATTCACGCTTTTATGTACAACATACACATATAGAGAGAGGGTCCCCTGTGTGGTGTGTTCTGGTGGAGCTCTTCTGCTGGATGTCACGTTGCAGTCTTTAGTTTCTGGCTCCTCCTAGTGCCCACACAGAGTTAGAGGCGTGTAATAGATTATAAGATTATTTCCGCAGAACTAAGGCTTGATGTAATTCTCCTCCTGAGCCTCCTGAACTGTATTATACTTCCCAAAAAGCTATCTAATTTCCAAAGCCATTATTTCTATCAGTAATTATTCCCCAGACTTATTTATGGTGCGATTCTGTAATGGTGAGTTTGCTGTTTTTTCATATTTCTTATTCTTTAAAAAAAAAACATTTGCATGCTTCAGTCGTGTTTCTTTTGATGACGAAACAAGTGGTCTGAACAAAATCTAACAAAGCTAAGTTTCCTTCTGGTGGCATTTAGCTGCAGCTGACTGATGAGTGAAGAGGAGGCAACAGCAAACAGCAGCTGCCCTGGGCTGCCATGCAAAGAGGAAGGCTTTACCTTTCCTTTTACTGGCAGAGCAGTGGTAACTTCCCTGACACTAACTGGACTCCACACAGGGTGCCCACACAGCAAGTGATGTGCTTGATGGCAAAGACTAGCCACCTGTGAAAGGAGAAAGGGGGATGGTGGCCAGCAGAACTGTGTTTACTGCTCTGTACATCCTCCTCTGGTTTTAGATCCCCATCTCTTTAGGACCCACAGGCATGGGTAGTAAGGTGGAGAAACTGCTAATGTATCTCTACGGGTTTAGTTGCCATGCCTGGGGATATCCTCAGGGCATGCAGATTTTAAAGCTTGTTTTAAAAGTATTCAGACTTCCTCCAATGCAGTGTTATAGGGAAAGTATTATTATTACACAATCTTTTAGAAACTCTTTCTTCCATGAGCTCTTTGATACTTTATAACTTAAAGGAATGAATGCAGTTTCTCATCAACCAAAAAGGTTAGGAGGTGTCATACCCTAGGGACTCCTAGCTGTTCATCAAGGAAATAAAGAAAAGTCGGGAGCCAAGGAGCCAACCACTCAAATGACACCTTAGAACTGAGGCCAATTTCTTGTTTTCAGTAGGGCCATAGTGAGCTCTCTTCTGCATCTCGTGATCTGCTGTTGTCATCCTTCTCTCTCCCACCTCTGCTCACTGCCCTTTGTTCCTACAGATACCCGCCAGTGGTGTCTGCAAACCTGCAGCATGGTCTCTTCCTTCCAGCAGAAGCATCAGTGGATGCTAGTAATCCCACCAGGCCACGCTGCCTCATCACTGCTTCCTATTAAAATAGCTTCATTGGTTTCAAGCACCCTTCACTGCGTATGTTGCTAGTTAAGAGCCTGCTCTCAAGTATCAGCTTCAACTAATGCACGCAGCTGAGGCTTCATGACTTGGAGAGCTGTATACACCCTAGGTTCTGAATGACCGGCATTAAGGTATTGTTGAGAGTTGTATTAAAACTGCAGAGACAAAGTCAAAAAAAAAAAAAAAAAAAAAAGCTGGCTTTGCTTTTCATGTACTCCTTCAACACGTGCAAACAGAAGAGGAGAGTTGCATGTGTTGTTCAAGCCAACACCTTGAAATTTTCTATTGCCACAGCATTTCAGAACTGGAAGTAGAAACATTATCCATGTGGGTCTAACAATAAAATGTATCCAGTGTTTGGAAATAAGAAAAGGGTGATAACAGGAAATGTCCTATGAGTAATAAGAGTAAGAAAAGGTTGCTGGATACGTCTGCAGAGCAATTGTCTTAGAAACACGCAGTTGGAATTAGAACAAAAGATAACCATGAGGTTATCTTCCGTTGTGCCTGAAAACAGGCACAAAATTCAATACATTATCAGTAACTTTTTATCATTTTGGCTTTCTTCTTGACTTTCATGTCAAACAGAGGTTCTACAGTCTCCAGAGCAGAGATCTTCCGTAAAACATTTAAGCAGGTGTTAATAGAAGTAACAGAGGGGAGACGGTGTGTAGATTTTGACTGGTTCCAAATAAACCCTGGAAGTTAGTTCTTTATGCAGAAGAGGAGCCAAGCACCCAGCAACTTACCCTCTCTGAATGGGTCAGACAGCAGCTCTCCCCATTTTGTTTCCACAGCTCGCTCACTTTCTGACACGCAGGATGGCGCTCTGTGGAGGAACAGGCCAGCAGCTCTTTGCCTCTGTTTTCAGAGATTTAGGGATTATCAAAGGCAGAAATCCTTTTGACCTTGAACAGTCCTTTCAACCCTTTATTTTGAGTATTTGGTGGACCCCGTACTTCAGCTCTTTCAGAGCTTTCCACCTCTCCCACTGCCCCTTCCAACCCCCAACAAGACCACATACATACAGGTGAAAATATCAGATAACTGCTAGGCACATGCTCTCACTGCCAGCCTCACCCTTCCCACCCACAAAAGAAAGATGTTAAAGATTAACTCTTTTGAGGCCGTGGCTCTTCTTATTAAATGTGATTTAAATTCATCAGTGCATAAATGGAAAACGGTAAAGGACAGAAGACAGGGAATGGAGAAAATTCAGAAAACAGCCCTAAGAGTTTCCAAAGATAGGTCTCTGCTACTTTGAAGAGAGGAATGCTGTTCCCCAAAAATACAATTTTCTGGATTCACATTCTGCACTCTCATCCACAGGTTTTCGGAGAAGGAAATACATGCGGGAAAACTGCTTTTGATGACAGCGCTGTGAAATACCACAAGCATTCCTGCCAGTGTACGTTCAAGCTCTGAACTCTGGTTCACCTCAGTTTTAGATGAAAGAGACACTCTGTTGATGTCACCTTGCTTCCACTAAATTCTATTTGAACCACTGATTGAGGAGGAAGCAGAACGTGAGCACTGCTTAAGAACTTACCACTTTCTACAGCAGTTGGTTTCCTTGTATTTTCCAATAAAACATTTGCAGGGGCACTTACTAAAACAAAGAGTCATTATTTCAGTAATGTAAAAACTATCATTTACTTTCAGCAAATGCATCAAAAGAAGCTCTTCTGTAAACAAAATTCTCATCCCACAGACACAATGGTATGCACAATAACATCACATTTTGCCAAGAGATTCCAGTAGAAAACACAGTAATTCCAAAGAAAGAAAGTGTAAGTTTATTGGACGCCAACATTTCTTAGTCAAGTTCTAAGTAAAGAAAACATACAGTAGAAAAAGTTGTACAAAGCAGCAATGGATTTACATTGCATTAAAGAAAAAGTTACCCTAAGCTATTAAGTCTCTGTCCTAAAAAAGTAAAAACCCATTCTTAATTACAATCCAATACTGGTGTATCGAATTGATATACAACAACTGTAAGGTATACAGGATTAAAAAAACAGCTTCTTTTGCCTTACCTCTATAACACTTTAAAACGACAAGTGATTTTGTGTGTAACGAATTGGAAAATTCCATAGCAAATATATTGGATAATTCCAACTTCTAGAAACTGCATCGAACTATCTCCCCACACCCAAATACTACAAGTGATTCCATTTTCCTGCTTTTTAAAAAGGGACACTGTCAAGAATAAGCTTTACAATGTGTACTTTGTATGTATTCTGCAAAAAGATGGTTTTTTTCCTGCTTTTACACACATGCTTTAATTAAACGCGCTGCAGTAGTGAGAAGCGTGCATCTGGAAAAGGTACCACATATCATTGAAAGGAACAGCAAAGGAAAAACAGATCAAGTCCTTTATTCTGGGCTAGAGAAAAAACAACATGAAAGTGAGCTCCACCCACAGAATTCAGATCTACTTTTCTGGCACCTTTGCAACAATTTAGGAAAATGCCCATAATAGGTATCTTCCTGCCTAACAAGCTCAAGTGTTAGCTCGTGTTTTCTTTGAATTTATTCATATCAAGTATTTTTAATATATTTATAGTATACACCCTTTCTCTTGATAGTGTCCCTTTATGTACAACAGTTATAGTACAGTTTTTCACAAGTTGTTTTAAATAAACAAGAATCAATGACATTAAAAATACTATCAGGCTGCGTTTAACCAAAATAAAATAAAATAAAATAAAAATAAAAAAATTAACACTGATTAATCAACAGCAACATTGAAAAAATCCTAACCTGACTGTGATTTTTATCTAAATCTTCTGGTAGGAGAATGTAAACAATTTTATTGAACAGTACAGGCACACGCCAGACTACAGGCTCATGCCAGATATTTGCACCCTCACTGTTAGTGCCAAGAAGTTTGACATAAATCTGTCCTTATCCCATGTGTGGAACTTCTAGTTTTATCACTTGAAGTTTGGAACAAAAACAGAGTACATGTAACTTCAGACCAAACCTGCACATATTATCTGGGGGGAAAAAGGTAGCAAAATAAAAACAAAATGTATTCTACTGGATGCCACCAGAATGCTTGCTTAAATAGGAAATGCAGGAAGAAATCTCACAGCTGTGTGCTTTGGTTCACGGATAAGGCTACACCTCCACTCTGAAAGATGTGAGAAAAAGTCTAGTGTCACCTCCAGTAGGTTATCTTCTCAGCTGTCAGGATGTTTCTATTCTCCTTATGCAAAATAAAATATAATAAAATACAAGAAGTATCATAGCATCATATAATGTTTAGAGTTCGAAGAGACTATGGAGACCTGGTTCCAATCCCCCTGCTGTGGTCAGGGACACTTCCCAATAGACCAGGTTGCCCAAAACCCCATCCAACCAGAACAGTGCCAGGGATGGGGCATCCACAGCTTCTCTGGGCAGCCTGTGCCAGTGCCTCACTGCCCTCTGAGTAAGAATTTTTTCTTAAATCTAATCTAAATCAATCATCTTTTAGTTTAAAGTTCCTTCCCCTTGTCCTATCACTATGTTGCCTCATAAACAATCCCTCTCCAGCTTTCTTGTAGGTCCCCTTTAAATAGTGGAAGGCTGCAATGAAGTTTCCCTGGAGCCTTCTCCAGATGGAACAAGCCCACCACCTTCGGCCTCCCTTCACAGGAGAGGCTCTCCAGCCCTCTAGTCATCCACGTAGCCTCCCCTGGATCTGCTCCAACAGTTCCATGTATCCTTTGTTCTGGGGGTCCCAGAGCTGAATGCAGTACTGCAAGTGGGACCTCAAAAGGACAGAGCAGAGGGAGACAATCTCCTCCTTTGCCCTGCTGGTCAGCCATCTTGTGATGAAGCCCAAGATGCAGTTGGCCTTCTGAGCTGTAAGTGCCCACTGCTGGCTCGTGTCCAGCTTTTCATCTACTAGAACCCTTAAGTCCTTCTTCTCAGTGCTGTTCTCAATTCAGTCATCACTCAGTCTATGTTGAAATTGAAAACTGCCTTGACTCAAATGCAGGACCTTGCTCTTGGCCTGATGAACTTTACAAGAGGGCCTACTCCTCAAACCTATCAAGGACCCCCATTGATGGGGTCTCTTCCCTCTTAAATTATCAATCAAATAATCTGAGCAGCTTCTCATCATACACAAACTTGCAGAGGGTGCACTCAACCCCACTATCCCTGTGAAATCCCACTACCCATGAAGATACTATATAGTATTGGTCCCAGTATGGACCCTCAGGGGACACCACTTGTTTCTGGCTTACACTTGGACAATGAGCTGTTGTCTGTAACTCTTTGCACATGGCCATCCAGGTATTCCTTTACTCATCAGTCAAACCCCCAAAATATCTTCACTCTTCACTTTAGTGGCAAGAATGTTGTGGGGGGACCATATCAAAAGGTCTTACAGCAGTTCAGGTAGATTATTACTGGTTGATGTCCTTCATTTTTGTAAGGCTGCAGAATTATATTTTAGGTGTACATGCCATTTTTATGCAGAGAAAAACTCATTTTAACTTTTCATTCTAGAACTAAAAGATGAACCCATACGTCATTTCTCACTTTCAGTGGGTGACCATGGTCCCAATGTATCAAAAAACCTAAGCATGTTTTTAAAAAAAAATGTTAAGACTGATCTCATTGGAACTTAATCACATGCTGAGACCTTTGCCAACACAGTGCCGCAAAGGAAAATAAGTCCCAAACCAAAATACATTTTATGGCTCAACCCTGCTTCTCTTAAATGCAACAGAAGTTTTCACTGTACTTCCACTGAAGCAGTATAGATCTCTGAGATTTATCTGACAAATTAAAAAAGGAAAGTAGTAAAAATTCTAATCTATATATATTAAAACATCTGCACATTCCTGTCACAAGTTTAAAGGAAAAAAACCCTTTCTGTATTTAGCAAGAGCTCTATATATGCATCACTTCAGCACACAATTACAAAATTAAAATATGATGAGGACAGGTTTTTGTATCAATAAATTTGTGTTTTATTTTGGCTGTGGCCAAGCTAGACACTCTTCAGAAGATATTTATAAACAAACAACTAACATTTTTTTCCATAATTTAACTTTTTAAACATATATTAAAGTTATATAAGTGGAAGCATATTTATTCCGTATCCTCCAAAATAAACACTTCTATCAAGGGTTTTTTTTAAAGGTACTGTATAAAAGCTAATAGAAAACCAGAGCTACTATATAAACATCTCATATTTAAACTTCAGATATCCTTAATTCCTTATGAAGCAGGAACTGAATGTAAAAAACTGAACTAAACACAGAACACGCTTAAAGTTAAAAAGAGACTTAAGAAAATCTGAAGAAACGCTTAGGAAGAAGCTATTTAGACCCAACTTTTTTTTTTTTTTCTTTTTAAATATAATACATAGCGTGCTAGGAAGAAGGTCATTTCTTCAAAGATATTGTATGAGCTTTTCATTTTAAGTGTGGGGTTTTTTTTAATCATCACACCACATATCAGATTCCCAGTTGGAAGTTCAATGACTGTAACATAGTTGACTAGTTGCCATTTTCTTTTAGATAGCACCCTGATTTTTGAAAGGCTGGATATGAACTACTATGCTGTTGGGAAGAGGAATAACTGGTGAAAACTTAGGTATGAGTTTACAAGAACATCTTCATATTTTCTATGCACACATTTCTTAAGTACATTTAAAGCATACTGAGCAAGTCTATACGTTTTTCTCATTTTGTTAAACCGGGTTACTTAAGAGCTGCACGCATTTCACTTTTCTTGTAAGAAATAAATTTAGTCTTATCAGGGTTTTTAAGAACTTAACTGATAGTGACAGGTTAACATGACTAAGTTGTGATCAAGTTTGCCTGGAAGAGAACAAAAAGAATGTTTAGCAACAATTTTATATTGCCATCAAAAAAATGAACTGAGAGGCTTGAAAATAACACTGGTTTTTTTTTTGGTAGCTAAAAAAAAGGAAGCCAGTGGTCCATACGGAGCCTGTATTTTTAAACTTAATTGAAGGAAAAACACTAAAAAATTCTGTTGGGAGAAAACTAACAGTGGCACACTTGGACTTCAATTGAGAAAAATCTTTTCTGGTGTGTGCCTAAATGAAGGTGCTCATCCTCAGATCCTAAAGTTACACAGGTGCTTTATTTTTGCTAAATGCTGGTACGAGCAAGCAATACTTTCTAACTTTGAGTGTAGGATGCTGAAAAAAAAAAAAAGCACTATTAGAGTCATATAGAATGAAAGCCTCACTCCTATTCCCACTGAAACTGGTGACCAAACTCTTGCTCTTCTCAGTGAGCAAAGACTGGGCTCTGACTAGATAGTGTGGATTGCAACCCCAGTCCCTCAACTTCCAGAGTAAAGTTAGTCAGAATCATAAATACCATTTGCATCACTGATGTTCTCACTGTTCATTGCACTACTCCATGAAGTTTAAATTCCAGTAGAACAATTTTTCACTTAATTTACCACAACTTTCGGGTAAACATTTCCTTGAACAAAGTAATTTTGGACCCTTGCTGTAGTTTCTGGTAAATATCTATGATTCGACTTTTACTAAATGCTCCAGTTGTGACTTGTGGTAAAATAATGGAACTGCACAAAGTATCTGCAGCACATTATTCTCATGATTTTCAGCAGATAAGAAAACTGCTACACAGTACCACAAAGGATAGGAAGCAGCAGAAAGAAATATTCTAAGCGTTGTATTCATAAAATACAGTGATAGCAATGTGATGGTTTTTCCTCTGCTTTGAGCTGGATATGCACGCTTAATACAAATTTCAAATACATACTTCTTCATTTATACAGATGTCTATATAAATATTTACACTTTTACTTTATGTTAAAACTTATCTTTGTACTCATGGCCAAGCTTATCACTGAGTGTAGGAACACAAGTCATCTTCTATCCCTTACCAAGCTTTTTTTTGCTTCTTAATAGTTCTACATTTCTTTGCAGTTAGAATTACAAACAGTTGTACAAACAGAGGAAACAAAATTACGAAACTTATCCGACATCCATCCAATCTTAGTTCGTATTACAAACAGTAACATTTGCATTATGATGGCTGTCAATACAATGACTTTAGTTACTGAAATGTTCATAGTAAATTAGTCTTTGGGACGTTATATAAAGCGATGTACCCCACCCCCCACTTCTCCTTAGAAACTTATAATTAAATGGCTGAAAGCAGGCTTGCTGCTATTTTGTTTTCTTAATATAAAATCTTATTAATAATATTGCTGATTTTAAATTCTACTTTAATTTGCACAAGTTCCATATAACAACAAAACAATTTTATGTTCCCTTAAAATATCAAACATTCGTATCCAATAATATTGGGATTACTGAAACGTGAGGTTTATTCGTTATTGCTAAAGATCTCTAAGACCTAAGTCAATACATTAAGACACTCCATCCACTTCCTCTCTAACTGCAAGTGCATGGCAGCTATTTATATGGAGCTTCTGTGTTGGTTTCTTTAAGAAAAAAAACAAAAAAACAACAAACAATGAAGTTGGTTACAGTATTTCACCACTATAAACTCACAGTTAGAATCCAAATTTTTGTTGCTCTTCCATTTAATATATAACTCTATATATAATACACACGCACACACCAACATCACAGGATGAAGATCCATGCATACAATCCAGATGCGATCGCATTTCAGTGTTAAATGAAATCAAAATTATTCTGTTACTATTAGATCCCAGTCCATATTATCTTTAATTACCCAGCTTTCTAGCTACTAACAAAGTTAGTTTACCTTAATCTCCAAATCCAAGCAGCATCACAAATTCAGAATCTTCTATCGTCGTTGTTGTTTTAATCCTCTTAAATTTCAAGTTTACGTGGCATACATCCGAGATCCTGAAAACAGCCTCCACCAAATCAGCTTATTAAGGTATCTCTGAAAGCTAATTGTGTGTCTGCTCATGGCTCCAAAGACTAAAAGCTGTCTTGAAAGTCCTGTGACAGAGTTTACACATGTACTGCCTTTTGAATGTGATTGCTGAGAGTGGTGGAGCATGATAGAAGAGCGTATCTGACTCCTGCGGTACAAATAATTTTTCAGTAGTAGTGGAGCTTTCAGACAAGCCTGTTGGACTATCAGGCTCCAAAGGCTGGATTTTGGGTAGTGGCGGGGGCGGAGGTAAAGGTGGTGGTGATGGGGAATTAGCTGGTGGACATACCTCAGGCTCCTTATTTGTGGACTCCTCTGCAGCCTGCGACATGTGGGACTGGAAGTGACTCCAGAGCCGGAAATTGGTTCGGAAGGCCTTGTTGCACACGTGACAAATAAACGGCTTCACGGAGCATAAGAGCTCTTGGTGACGCTCCAGTTGTTTGCGTACAGTGAAAATCTTCCCACACTTTTCACAGGGCCACAAACCAGCATCTTTGTTGGAGACTACTTCCTTTGGTTCTCTGCTTGTCTCAGTGACCTCATCCTCTACGTCGTCTGCAGGCTCTTCCTTGATTTGAATTTTAAACTGCTTGGAAACACTTAAGTCTTCAGGCAGGCAAGAGGAATCTTCAGAATCAAAATTAATCTGTTCTGACGAGTCACTGAATACTCCGTCTTCCTTGGCAGCAAAATTGTTTATTTTGTTGGATTCTGACTGAGGAGGCAATCTTAATGAACTAGTTATGTCTCCATTGTGATCCAGGATAGGTAAAGAAAAGTTCTCTGATGGAGCCATCGTGTTCTGATTGTGAACTTCAACTTGATGACGCCAAATACTAAAGGATGATTTGAAGGTGCGCATACACTCAAGACAAGTAAGCTTCTTGTATTCACACTTGCTTTCGTGCTCATGCTTCAGCTCTGGGGATGAAAATCTAAGGCTGCAGTAAGGACAGACAGTAGCGTTTCTACAGAGTCGCTCATGATTTCCCTGTTCGATAAGTGAAGAGAGCTTAGCATTACAGAGACGGCACTGATAAACTTCCTTGTTTTCTACATGACTTTCAATATGAATATGGTCTTTCTGCTTAGGAACCTTATTACCTCCAATCGGTTTTTCTCCTGGATGCATTTTTATATGCTGTTTGAACTGTGAGAGGAAACGATAAGCTTTTCCACAGTAGACACAAATATAGGCTCCTTTGGTTCTTGATCTTAAATTCCTTTTGATGACTTGTTGTGCTTGTGAAGTAGATTGTCCCTGGAAGCCTTGCTTGCCACGTCTTAGTTTAACTATTAGAGCTTTTTTAATTTCTCTCTCTCTCACTATATCGATCAGTTTTCTTTGGAATTTTTCATCCAAAACAGCGTGAGAACTGGAAGCTGGTGAGGGATTCTTGACAATTCCATGTTGTGTCTGGCAGTGTGTCCACACTTTGAAATTTGTGTGAAATCTCTTGTGGCATATGTCACAAGCATAGGGCTTTTCTGGATTATGATACATGTTAACGTGACGATGAAGACCTGCTGTTGACCTGAAAATTTTAAGGCAGTGTTTGCATTTAAATTTTTTATTTGGTCTTGCTTCTTCCATTTCACTGTATTCATCTTTACTGACATCAGAATCAGCAAAATCAGCATCAAGGTGCGTAGGGCTTGAGCCTTCCTCGAAGTTTTCTTCCGATTCAGGAGAACCCTCTTCATTCACCTTGAGTTTTTTGAATGGTAGCCTTCTATCTGCTTGAAATCTCCTTTTTGCTGGAAGTCTACTTGGTTCCTTTTGATCATCCTCAGTTTTAAAAGGAAAGTCTTTACTTGTAGGTACTGATGTGTCACCCACTGTAACTCTTATTATTTCAGATGGATCTGAAAGCGGACTGCTGGGTTCGGTTTTTATTCGCACCTCTGTGAGAGGGGAAGAAACTTCCCTATCAGTTGTCTGAGAGGCACTGAAAGACCTAAGGCGATGTGGGTGCATTACCTGTGGCTTTTCTTCTAAGACTAACTTCTCCGATGACTCTTTCAAGCATGACTTTTGAGATGCAACATTAAATATCTTCTGGGAATCAGCAGTTCCTGGTGAGGAGGAAGATGATACCTGTGAAGGTTTTAGGTCAACAGAAGGTGAATAAATAGGAACCTGGCTGTCCATAGACAGTGACCTTCGAAGTAGACTTTTTACGAGTGGACCACTTCTGTCAATGCTTTGGTTTTCAGGACCAGATCCACTAGATGGGATTACTAGTCCTAACTTGGAGTAGTACAGCAAATTCCTATCTTCACCTTGACCATTTCCTTTTCCCGCCTCTCGTAACAAAAATGCAGATTCTGATGAGCCACGCAGAGATAAGACTGGCGGACGTGGTCTTTTTAATAACTCTGCAGCCTTTCCTCTTAAAAGCTGACTACTACTTCCTGGTTCATCACTTGCAATTTCTTTCTCTGCTAAAGGTTTTTGAGGCAACACTGTGTTCCTTTTCACTAAACCCCCTCTGCTCTGATCCTCTGCAGTTCCAGAAGTTTCGTGAAACTTGGTATAGCTCCCAGGGTTTTCCTTCAGCCATCTCCTTTCAGTCAGTGATAAATTGTGAAGGGTTTCAGTTGGTTTTGCTACTTGTGGTCTAATGCTAGTTTTGATAGCAGCAGAGGGTAAAGGTTTAGAAGTATGGCTTAAATCATGCTGCATTTGATTTACACTCTTTCCTTGTGCATCGCTTCTGTTCTGACAGACAATGACACTCCTCTTCTGAGAACTACTTTCATCTTCATCTTGATACAGTATCTTCTTAATGGGGCAAGATGGAAAGGGAGCTTGAGGGCTCTTAGAAACAATGTTTGTAAGAAAGGATATTCCAAGGCTGTAGCCCAGCTCTTGCACAGCTGCAAGACTGCCTTTCTCTATGAACAAGGATGAAGAATAAATGTAGTTTAACACATTGTCAAAAGCATCTGGTTCACAAAAGTCGAGTTGAAACACTGACTGAGACTCATTCTCCTTATTTGTGAACAGGGTCTGGAAGTATTCGCTGCTGGCAGCTAGAACGTTTTTATGAGCTCGAAATTTCTGATCTCCTACTATAAGCACAACATCACATAGCTGTCCCTTTAGACGCTCCTCGTTCAGTGCGCTTAGAAGTGAAATGGCATGTGCTGGATTTATGTAATGCAAGAGCCCCTCCATTATCCTGATGTTCCTGAAAAAGAACATAGTAAGAATTATTTTCTTATTAACATAATAAGAAAAAAAAAACTACACTGCTTTATGTAGACAGTTATTAGAGTTAATGTAAATGAACCTAAACTCTCTGCACCTCATAAACAAGCTAATTGACCATCAATGCTGCTGAAGAAAAGAGTTTGTTTGGAGCAAAGGTATGGGATTTAACATAACATAGTTTCGCTTCAGCAGATGTACAGGCATTAGAAGCAGCTCATGCTAAAGAACACTTTTAAATACTTTCAGTTGATCTTATACTAAAAATATCACATTTAATTGGGAGATGGGGGTGGTATTGTGTTTTCTACCTGCAGTATAGCTGTCCACATGAAGGAATTCCATTTAATGACTTCAGTTGATCATCTTTTTCTCAAGTTTAGCTTTAAAAAGATCTATCTTGGCAATTACTTCAATAAACTTTTGAATTAGCTACTGTTGTGGTTTAGCCCACCATGCAGCTAAGTACCACACAGACACTCACTTACTCCCCTGCAGTAGGATGGGGGAGAACCGAAAAAGGTACAAATGTGAGAGCTCCTTGGTTAAGATAAAGACAGATAAGGACAGAAGGGGTTGAAAGGGAAAAGAAAAAAAAAAGAAAGAAAGAAAAAGAAAAGAACTAAAGAAAAGAGAGCGAGTGATGCACAGTGCAATTGCTCACCACCAGCTGACTGACGCCCAGCCAGTTCCCAAGAAGCAGCAGTCTCACTGGCCAGCTCCCCCAGTTTTGCTGTTCAACGTGACACCACCGTGTTATAGGACATCCACGTGGGCCAGAGTCAGCTGTCCTGGTTCTGTCCCCTCCCAGCTCCCTGTGCCCCCTCAGCTCCTTGCTGGCTGGGCAGCGCGAGGAGCTGAAATGTCCTTGGCTCTGTGTAAGCACTGCTCAGCAACAACTACAACAACAGTGTGCTATCAACATTATTTTCATCCTAAATCCAAACAAAGCACCATACCAGCCACCATGAAGAAAATTAACTCTATCCCAGCCAAAGCAAGGACACACACCTGAAGTTAGTTATACTAAGTCACTTCTTAAGGTTAAGCAACCCTGACAGTCTCCTGCTAACTAAACAAATTAAAAGGTTTTCGTTGTTATTTTTTATAGGGTGATGAAAAGGGCATTAATACTGGCAGAATTATCACCTATAATCTAGACTAATTCATTATGCCTGCTTATATTTAATGAGTGCTAACATGCATACACTTCTAACTATGAAATATATATTAACTCTTACACCTGCACTAACAGGATTTGGTTTCTTGGAAATTTCATAATTTTAATTGAACTATCCCAGCAGCACTTTGCTTCTGCTAGAATATAATCAGTTAACTGAATTCTCCATCTTATTCATTAGCTTTTACATGGATTTCACACCCATAACCTACAGTTACCCCCAGACGCATCCAAGGGTGCAATAAGCACAAACTAAACTGCAGTGCAGAAATCCCCACACTGCTTCAAAACACAGCCTACTCTGTGCTGTAGAATGTCTCCATAACTCAACAGGCTTCTCTTGACTAGCTTTTAACGAGAGAAGACAAACAGGTTTTAAACTAGTTTGAGCAAACAACTTCTGTCAAATAAATTGAATTTTATCTATTGGTGCACACATACACACGCTCAAAAATCAAGAATATCCAATTTTATTTTGTTGCCATGGACACTCCTACAATTCTGTTTAAGACAACCTGCAGTACAAATTTTTAACTACCTTCCTCTATGGTGATGAAAAACAAGTAAATGATGTGTCTCTTAAAAGCAATTCTTTTTGCAGCTGATTTAAGAGACTTAAAATATATACATATGATATATGCTACCATAACAAAAAGGTTTCACTGTTCATCAATTCTCAATGAAAGCTGACAATTTCATTTTTTATTTTGATAAGAAGATATAATTTTATCAAAATAAAAAATAAAGAAGCTATAATCCTGTAATTATTAAATGAGAAATCTTGCAACCAATGGGCTTCAATCACAGGAATTGACTGAAGTCTAAATTGGTAATGCTGAGAAAATGACTTAAAGTATGCTGGATACAGTGTCTCAGGACATTGGTCATATCACAGGACTGAGCTACCAGTTTTACAGCTGAAATTACCAGATGAGTTCATAGTATCAGGGCAAAAGCAAAATTCTGTTTCTTCTTCAGATCTGCCTCTCAATAGAGTGTTCCAGTGCCTTGCAGCATTATTTCATTAACACTAATTTATCCTTAATTCACCTCAAATAGTTATAAATGCATAATGCCTCCACTACACTCTCTAAAAAGGTAGAACAATTACGCCTCTATGAATGTAAGAAATCCATCTGTTTTGTTCTATTTTTTATGTTTGACTTAAAAGTACCATCTGGGGTGTGAACTATTTTTTGGACACTTCTGCAATGTAAAATGGTGGTGTCCGAATGGCCTTAATCCAGCTGGGAGGTCTGCACACCCGTTAACACTTGAAATGTTATTAGCAAGTCCTCCAGGAATGCATTTTTCCCTTTAGTTTAATCTTAAAGTTTACACACTCATATGATTTGTCTGTGTTGCAAATTAAATAGTCTACAGAGATAACAAAACAACAATGTATTTCTGAAGGAAACTTGAACTAAAATATAGTAGTAAAAACACCTACTAAAAGTTGCAGCTGAACCCATACCTCAAGGACACGCTGGGTAGGAGACGGTCAAATGTTCTGAAGTATTTTCAAACCTTTCATTTTAATCTGCTTTACCCAGGCCTTGAGTTTTCTGTAAGACACCTGAAGAATAAACACCATGCAGTTACTATGCATTCCTTTATTCATCATAACACAGTAATGCTACTTCTACAGGTTGGTGTAAAATTCACACATCTAAAACGGAATCTGACAGCCCTCCAATTTTCTTCCTATATACTCCTTCTTAGTCGTAGGACATCTTGAACACTCTACGTTACACAAGACAGAGATAAGCATCCTAGTACAATCCTCCATTTCATTTGCAGAGCACAGCTTCTTCTGCGCACTAGAAGAGGCAGACCTCTTTGGTGCAACTGGCACTTTAACAGTAACCAAGGCTGCAATGTACACAACTGGCAGGGGACCAAATTAATCCTGCAAAGGCAGCTTTAATCCTGGTCTTTCCTACTTCTAGTGCTTGACTTTCAGCTCCATAGCCTTTAAACACGATGGTCAGAAATAAAACAAGTTATGGTATGTTAGAAAACAAATCCAGAATCAAAAAAACAAATGCAGAACCATTTTAACACCTTTACACAGACCATAAGAAAGCCTTTTAAGACAGATTTTAAAAAAATAAAACAAAAAAACCCACAAGGTTACTTTTACTGTGTAAAAGTACAGTGTATTAAAATTTCACTGCATGAACAGTTGTTGATAACAAAGTTAATCAGAGTTTCTTTCTCCCTTTGGTTCATCCTATCTGCATGCTGCCAGTCACAACTGCAGCTGCGCTAGAACAAATATTTGCAGGTCTGCGTTACAGAACAGGTCAGACAATACATAGAGAACAAATATTTCTTTTCAAATGCTGCTCATTTCTCACAGTCAAGCTCAATCCCAGGAACAATTGCATTGGCATAACTGAAGAGAAGGCAAACTGTGGGAATGGAACAGCTCTGGGAAGGCAAGAGATTCTTACAGCAGTTTGCCACTAAAGCTGATGTAAGGCTGACAGCACTGAACCCTTTTATAAATGGCATCCTGACTGTGTGTAAACAACAGATTTGATTCCAGGTGTTTGAGGAATCGTACTTCTTTGGCTGAAGATTATTTTGCCATTAACTGCCTAAGCCCTTTCCTGATAAGCTGCTTTTTTTTTTCCCCCAACCAACTTTTCCAACTGCTTTCAGTACCAGATAGAAACAAAGCTATTTCCTACTTTGTTCCCTGATGCCTGAGTGATGTCAAGGAGACAGAATGTACCAGATCTCTCACTGTCTGTGCTCTTGTATTATGTGCTACTGGTCCTCACGAGGAACAATGACAGCGAGGCTCCAAATCCAGAAGAGGGAGGCGCAACAGGAGCACCTTTGGGAGATGAGGAAGAGATTTTATTGTCAAATCTTCAACAGCCCTTTACTAATATCAACCTTCAGAGGCTGAAGTACCACATTTGACACAATATTATAACAAGAAGAGCAAAGTTATTATTTTGAACAAGGACAGAAAAAGATACCTCCACTATTTCATATGACTGCAAAAAAAAAAAAAAAAAAAAAAAAAAAAAAAAAAAAAAAAAAAAGAGGAAGTCTCTACTCACAAAAGCTCTTCACAAGTGAAGGATGAAGAATTTTTCTCGTTAGCACAGCAGATCATTGATTCTCACAAGTTCCCTGTCATCACTATGTGAGATCCCCTTCCATCCCTTAATCTCATGCCTCCTGCTCCAGCCCTGGGGTCCTCTACCTTCTACTGGCTCAGTTGCTCATGTGACCACCCACTAAGTTGATTCAGCTCCCAAAAATGAGGCAGGAAAAAAAAATAATAAAATCAACCCAACTTTTTATGTACGCACTAATTCAGAGGTGAGAAAGTTAATCAGCTCGTGCAGAGGTCAGATGCATCAGAGCTGCTGTAAGAGAAGCAGTGAAACCGCCTGTTCTTTGTCAGCAAGTCAATCTGCTTTGCCATCTGAAACTTCATTTTCAGAAGCAACGAAGTCACTCAGGCTGAAACTTTACAAATAGAATCAGGCAGATGTTGTAATGAACATTTTCATACAACTAATACTTGCAAATACTTAAGTAACTAAAACAAACAAGACGTTGCTGTTGCCTGCTGACTTCCATTGTAACCACGTAGCTGTCAGCTAAAGCCACGTCAACAGCGTCCTGGGGATGCAGGTAGCAAAGACTGTTCCGAAACACCTGAGGACACAGTGCTGCAGCAAGAATGTGCCAGGGCTGACAGAAATTGCAGTTAGAGAACAAGAAAACACAGGAAAAGAAGAAACACACACACAGGAGACAGACAATGAGAGAGACTGAACAGTGGCTCTAAAAGGGAAATACATGTACAGCTGCGGTGGAGGGAAACCCACCAAAACACAGAGAGATAGGAATGGAGAGGCCCAGCCTAGGAACACAAGAGGCTTCCTGTGGTGTCACCAGGGAAGCGCAGGCAAGTTGTGCCTGGCCATGAGCGCTCTGCAGTGGCTTTGATGGCTCTGGTTGATCTTGTACTGCTTCAGACCCAAAGTGGAAAGAAGCCTCACTATCAATCAAGAGACCGGATGCAAAAGAAACCTACATTGCTTAAACTTCTGCTTGAGTATCCTGTGCTGGATTGTATTATTTGAGCTTGACTACAGCTTGTCAAACACCTTTTCACATACACATAACTAAAACTTGAAGTAAAAGCTTTGAGCCTACAGAACAAGATTGTCTGCACCCCTGTAATTTTTTGTCTAAGTAAATAATTGAGTTATTTCTTGCTGCAAGTTTGGGGATTTTGTCTTTCTGGATTTTGAAAAATGTGATTTCAACTGCTACTGCTGTTTTCTCCACTGCAATCAACACTGAGAAGTCTCTGAAGACAGATCTTTTCATTTCCAGTATGTCAGTAGCCAGGAGATTTAGGAAAACAAGCATAAAATCACAAGAGAAATGTATTTATGTGTGAAACTGATATAACAATATCAAACTATTTGACACAGGCGCACCAGAAGCAGCAGAAATTTAATGACAGGAAAAGAAGAAATTCTGTATTATCGCAGTCTCTTTATTTTGCCCTCCACTACAGACAGACCAGCGATTATCCTAACACAGATTAGATGCTCAGGAATCAGAAACTGTTTTTCACATTCAGATCAGACATCACTTTGCCAACTGACATTCAAAACAGCTCCAAGCTACAAAGTCTCTGAGTAGCACCACAATGCCTTTTCACGTTCTTATTTACAAACGAGCAGTTTTTAAGGGTGTGATTTCACCTTAGTCTCAGTGCAGTCTAATCAGAGATTGAAGGGATCAGTCCGCACCTCCTCCCCCTCTAAGGACAGACAAGTTCACTGTCAGCTGGGCAAGCTGATCCAGCTCACCAGGAGATTGCACAACCACGGGATATAAGGGAGAGGGCAGGAATGTGTGCTGGCTGGGAACTCTTCTCATTCTTCTTGGAAGAGTTCATGAAGATTAGCCATGGTTTGATACGATATTTGTCCTGGCTTCAGTACCTCAACTGCAAGGTATGCAACTCATCATCCAGACTGCTGCAAATAAAAATCAATTGCATTTTAAAATCCCTTTTCCTAAGGAGGTCTTCAGTTTTCATTCTTTCAAGTTTCTTAACACTGCCATCAAAATCCCATGGGAAAAGCCCCAAGACTTGATGGCAAAATGCACCACTACAATCACTGAACAAAAAACTCATCCCCAGCAATATTTCAATTCTCCCCTACCCCCTTTTTTTTTTTTTCTTTTTAAACGAGAGATGCATGAAATCAAGAATTTGAAGAAGGGGGAATGCACACCAAATCTGTATGGCTGCATTCTTCCTAAAAGTTGAATTTATTAGTTTACTGGTAATGCAGAGATATACTTAGCAAGTTGAATAGTATTTGGTCACCTGCTTTGCTGTATGAGCCGCTCTTTGTTTAACTGGTCTAATACACAATAAAATTCTATTTACATACTGCTTTCAAATCTGCTGGCATAGTAAAAATGACAAACCACAATCATAATCACAGAAATATTTCTCTTAATATAAAGATGCTTTTTACTGGCATAGTATTTTTTGGATGGGAACTCATGTAAGATTATTCCGTATAAACATACATTTTTACACAAGTGTCTGTGCAAGAATACAAGTACAGAAGTAAAAAGTCCTTAACCCAAAGCATGCTGAACTACTATAATAGCTGAAGTGTGCACTGAAACTAGTAAATTGCCAAGTGAACAACTTGGTAAATTTCAAGATCCATAGAGTGCAGGTATCTTTCACTCACTGAAGTGACCCAAAGAAAACTCCTTTCAGCCACTGTTAATAAAGGGCAAGATATGAAGAAGCCAACTTCTCCAAGGTTCTCTGACCATTCAGTGTAGCGGCGTTCATTAGGAAGCAGTTCACTTGCTTGAAAGTTACCACTTTTAACAGAGAGCTGAAAACAGCTGCAACTATGGCCTATGACTCACAGCTCCGCACCTCCCAGTGCAGCACAAACTGTGTGGTGGTTACAGCCCCGCTTCCTCCACCCAGCTCCTCCTCCCTACCCCCCTGTATGACCACACTTATTAACAAACCAAGATTATCATTACTTTGCAGACAGAACAGCTTTCAAAACCTGGAAAACTAGAAATGGAAATTACTTGATGTTTTTAAATGGTAACTGCTTCACAGCTACTGAAGATCAAAAACAAACAACTTCAATGAAGCACAATGGCTTTCTGTAAAGTTGTCCATTCAAACCCAAACTATGGCACATCTCTGCTTGACAGCAACTAACTGTAAGGAAAGCAGAGACAGCCACTCCTGAGAAAATGATCAGAACAGCTGTTTAATTCTCTACCAGTATTTTCCAACACTGTGTACACACAAAAGATGAGCCCAGAAAAAAACATGTCTTCGCAATATCAAGCTTCTGGTGATCCACACAAGAGAGGGGACACAAATGGTCTAACTTCTGATCTTTGTGTACAATTAAACATACAGCACACATGACTTCTGGAGCTTCTTACAAACACCTCTTTCTGCATTAATTGCTAATATCATAGAATGGCTTGCATAAGGAGGGTCCTCAAAGCCCACTCGCCCCAACCCCTGCTGTGAGCAGGGCTGCCCCCTCCCACCTCAGGCTGCCCAGGGCCCCATCCAACCTGGCCTTGTGCACCTCCAGGAATGGGACACCACAGCTCCTTTGGATGTACTAAAGGATAAGTTAAGCTAAGTGTTTAAATAAAGCACCTAACTCATAATGACTTGATTCCCAATTTGGATCATTGTCCAAAAGGCAACGTGGAAATTAGTGGAAGACCAAGAACACACTGGAAAAAAATATACAGCCAGCCCTTCAGTTTTCATCCACAGGGGTGACCTTCGATCCAGCAGGCTCTGGGAAGCCCACAGCTGGAGAGACGTCTGATAAACCCTCTTCTGACACACATCCCCATAGCTGAAGTCTCCAAAGGTTGTGATATTTCCCCACAAGTCCTCACTGAAGAACATGCAAATTCTTTAAGTGCTCACATCTACCCATCCCAAGTGGACTTCCTATAGAAAGAAAACACCACATGTTCTTCTGAGGACAACACTCTGTCATGAGCGTAATAACAGATTCAGAGAGAGAAGTATGCTAGATCCTATTAGGGAGAGAAAGCCACATCATTTGTGTTTTGCAAACAAGGTTTGCAAAACAGTTGCTAAGGTTTGCTCAGAAGTTCCCCCCCCCTCAAGAATATCATAAGGCTGGTGGAAAATTTTAGTCAAAGCAGTTAGTTTGTCAGTTTGAGCGAAGTAAGAACAGAACACAGTAACTAGCAGCCTTTAGACAAAACAGATATAGCACAGTACTCTCTTTTATCTGCAACAGATTTACTACTCCTGATGTCATACTGAAAGCATTATTATATAAAAATGTATTTTAAAAAAAAACCAAAAACCTGTATTTCCACAGTAATATTGCTTTAAGGATGAAAACTCCAACAGTATCTTAACTGCAAGAGCTTCATTGTACTTGAAAAAAAAAAAAGAAAAAGTGGGATTATGTAATTCACCACAATGTCATATCTACATATCTACACCAACCCCTCCCACTGCACTCCCCCAAGAACAGGTCAGCTTTCAGAAGAGTGCCGTTTAGTTATTAAGAAGTGCTTGTTCATCGCTTGTTGAAGTTCCACAGTATGCCCTTCCTCGTCAAAATAAGTCATGGAGATGGAAGTGCTTCAGAGCTTTGATATTTCACCTGATCCACAAATAACGAAAGCTACACTAAAGTTCGGACGTGCATTAAGGCTGGCCCCACCAACTCCTTCCCACCCTGAAATTCGCAGCCTAGAAGGAACCCCCGTTTCAGCTGCAGCAGCTCTCTACACTACAGGCGGCACCTGCCCACCGCACTGTCCCTCCCCCCTCAGGCCGCCAACCAGCCCCTGAGCGACCGCCGGGTGCCGCGCACCCCGTCCCGCCGCCAGGCGCAAGCGCGCGCCTCTCGTGCCGCCAGCGCCCCGCGCCGCTCCCCACGCACGGCCGCTCCCGCTCGCCCGCGCCGCGCATGCGCCCTCACACAGGCACCGCCCCCCGTTCCGTCCACAGCCTCCGCGCAGGCGCAGTTCCGGCAAGGGAGGGAGGGGAGAACAGGGTTGAGGCGGAGCTGGGCCGCCGCGCGTGCGCGGAAAGCCCAGCGGCGAGTCTATGTGGCGGGTGCGTGCCGGCGCAACGGGCGCCCGCCGCCTACTTCGCGGCGCAGGGCGCGTGCGCGAGGCAGAAGGAGAAGAGTTTCGTAACCGGCGCAGGCGCAGTGCCCCGATCGGGGACCGCAGCCCCGTTCGGTGGGGGAAAAAAAAAACACCTCAGAGTTACGTCAGGAAAAGACGCCTTTGTACACGGGGAGACCCAAGCGGCGCGGGCGGCCCCCGAAACGGGCGCGAGACGCGGCCGTTACTCACCCGCTCTGCCGCCGGCCGCGCCCCCCCCTGCCGGCCCCCCTCGGCGCCGCCGTTCACGGTTCGCCCGCGCGCGCTGCTGCCACCGCCGTGATTCCATCCATCTTGAATTTGACGTCATCCCACACCAGGGATGAGGTCATCGAAGGGAACGCTCGTCACGTGCGCAGCGCTCCGATTGGCCGCCGGCAGAGCGGGGGGCGAGGCGCCGGCGCGGCGGGGAGGGCAGCGGCTGGGGACGGCGACGGGGGATCCCCCACCCGCCGCCCCTCCCCTCTTCTGTCTTTTCCTCAGCCGCTCGCTCCGCGGGCGGGCGGCCGCCGCTCGCTGCGGCGGCTCTCCCGCAAAGCCCGGCGTGGCGTGAGCCCCCCTCCTTCCCAACGGCTGCTTAACGGTCGTCTGCGCGCGCGAGGGACACTGAGGCAGAAGCTTCGGGGTGGCGCGTGGGGGTGCAGCTCTGCTCCCCTTCCCCCCACACGCCAACACAAACACGCACTCGGCTTGTAACGCTCGTTTTGCCGAGAGGCAGGGCAGGGCCCTGGGGTCGGGCTGTTGGAGCCGTGCTGAGGGACTTTGGAAAGCCTTGAGGGGCTGCGTGGAGCGGTGTCTCGTTGGGATTGCCCGCCGTGAATTACCGCTTGTGGAGGGGTTTGTGTGTAAAAACACGAGCGCTAACATCTCAAGAGTTTCCTCTTAAATAAAAATTAAAATTACCAAACTTTTATCTCTCTTTCTCTCTCTTTTTTTTTTGTTTTGTTTTTTTTTGTTTGTTTGTTTGTTTTGTTTTTAGAAGCTAATCTGGCCCATTATCTCTTCATTAAAGACAGCTCAGTTTCTGGAGATTAACATCTAATCCACACGCTGGTTGCTTTTAAATATGCCGCACAAAGACTCTGAAGTAGCTACTAGGATCTCTGTAATTCCTTCAGTGCTGCATTGAAACTTGGTTTGTTTCCCCCAAGGATTCAACACAAATGGGCTAAACCCCATGAGAGAAAACCCCATTACGAAAAATGTCAATGGACCTCAACAGTTCCAGCCTAACGCTTCCCTTTCCAAATAGAATTTTTGCCACTGCCAGCTCTTTTTGGTTGTGGTGCAAACTTCTTAAGCTGCCTGTAGAAGGAGGATACGCTGACTCTGCCAGCAAAGTGCTTGTGAAACCAACCTGAGCTCATCCATCCAGCAAGGCCCTGCTAATGCTTTTCAGATGTCTGCAGTTATTTCTCCTCCAAGCAGAAACAAACCAGCCTTGCGTAATTATTTTCTCATCTGCCGTTCTCCAGAAGAGTCTGTGTCGCAGATGGAGAACATCCATTCCACGTTTACCCTGCTGAAGAACTGCATGCTTCAGGGTCTGTGTGACATGCACACCTGTGTAAATATGTTTTAATACGGAGTTGTTATCAGTGCTTTTTATTTGCCGATACCTAGTGAAAGTGTAATTATTAAAATAGAGCCTGCTGGTATAATATTGGTACCAGAGAGCAGCTAGTTTCTATAGTCCTTAAGTAGATATATCTTTAGAACTAGTTAATCGTTAAGGTCCCTTCCAACCTAAGCCATTCTGTGACTTCGTGATTTTGAGAAAATTTTGAAGATGGTTCTTAAGGGTTTTGTGGTTTCAAGAGACATAAGAGTCAATTGGACTGTACTTCATAGAATCATAGAATCTTGGAATCCTTAAGGTTGGAAAAGACCTAAGATCACCTAGTCCAACCATCACTCCACTACTGCTGTGCTCACTTACCATGTCCCTCAGTGCCACATCTCTACTGCTCTTGAACACCTCAAGGGAGTGCCTCACCACTTTTCCTGAGAAGAAATTGTTCCTAAAATCCATGTTTGGGTCTCACTGACTTAACATCATTAACAATGGTTGATGACTTAATTCCCTGTAAACCAGAATCTTCTTGATTTTAATTAAATGTAGACAAGGAATTAGTGAGTTAGAGTTAGGTGAGGTTTAAGTTGTCTCTTAAGTAGGTTAATTTTTTCAAATGTATTTGGTCACATTTGTTTGAACACTTTCTCATTCTTTATGATTAGCATGGTTATAAACTTATGATTTCAAACAGTTCTAATTTTAAGTGCTTTGATGAAACCCTTTGATATATTTTTCATCTACGTATGTGTAGTTGCAGCTGTTATTACCAGATGCATGTTTGTTGAGTATAAGATTTGCTTTCCATTCAGGGTATCCAGTAGCTGCTCAGATTAAGTTCTGTTGACTCTTGCCAGCAAATTCAATCACTGGAATTTTGTTCAGAACTCCTTCAAAACACAAACGGAAAGCAAACTATATGAAAAATATGGGTGATTATACATGGGCTTTGTATGAGAAAAGTATGTTTGAAAACTAAAACACCTTGGCATTGATTTTATGTATGTGTACAGGAAGTTACCCTTCTCAGATGCAAATGCTGTACTCTAGGGCCAAATTGCGTACACTGTGCAGTTTTTTTATGTTGACATTTATTTCATTTTCAATATAAAAGCATTTGGAATAAGGTCATATCCTAGAACTAGGCTGTATTTTTCTAGATCTATTGTTTCAAAATTATTTTTGATCTGCAGACCCCTAAATTTTTTTAAGTGAAGGTTTGATTCCTGTGTCATTAATTTAAAACTAATGGCATCAGGTTATTTTATTTTACAGAGCTAAAGATGAATCTCAAATCTCAGGTGCCCATAAGCAGCATATACCAGAGAACACCTGGTTCTGAAGGAGAAAGGATAAATAACAGACATCAGAAAGAACGACACACAGTGTAACTTTGCTTCATTTTGGTGGGGGAGCTTTGGCTATGAAGTGCAGTAAGATTGTTTTCCGTCTTGGTAGATTCTTCAGTCTTATGGCCAGACTGTACTCCAAGGGCCTTTTTATACTCTGTGTATGTATGCCACATGTACATCAGGATACACTGCTGCCACATCTCCTCCTTGCAGGCAGTGTGGCTTCTCTAAGATTACCATTCTCATGTAGCTGCTGTAATAGCAGAAATACAATACTGCAAGGGCCAGAGTGTGATGTCTTTGTTGTTTCCAAGAAACAACAATCAGGAATTATTGCAAGAAGTATTAAAAAGGGAGTTAATTTGTTTCTAAAAAAGTGCCAGCTCTC